TGAACTATCCTAAAATTAATAACGCACATAGCTCCAATATTTAAGAGGAAAAAAGAAAGAAAAAGGATAATAAATGATTAGAACTCTTTTTTTTAAAAGACTTTTGGGTCCGGGATATTAAATCATTAAACACGACTTTATAAACTGAAAGAAAATAAAATATTTATAACTAATACTCTCGTTCTATATTATAATCAAATTTTACCTTTTAAATTTATTAAATATATATTAATTTTTAAAATTTAAATTTAAAAAGTAAAATTTATTTATAATATAAGACTGAAAAATATAGGGGTGTTCAGATCCAATCCGATCCAAAAAAAATCCAAAAACCGAACCGAAAAAACCAAAATTCAAAAAAAAAAAACGATTTTTTTGGATGTATTTGGATCACCATGTAGCATAACCGACCGGTTCGGTTCGGTTTACGGTTGGCTTCATGAGAATCGAACCGGTCCAAACCGAACCGATATTACTTCCATTTACTTGTCATTTATTATTTAAAATAAATTAATATCGAATCATTTATAGCCATCCTCCCAAATTAATTATGTTAGCCAACACTAATTTCTCTAGAGAATCTCAATCATTCCTATAATTTCCCTATTCAGATTTTAAATTATCTTAAAATTAAATACAATGAATGTTATTCATTGTTGTAACCGCAAGAAATTCAATATCGCAAGCAAGAAATTCAATAATACTAAATAGACATTCATCTCAATTAGTTTTCTGAATTATACTATCAGTAAGCAAGCTTCTTAATTTGTTTGATTTTATCTTTTTTGTACTTTGTAGTTTTGTTCGATCAGATTTTCTAAAGCTATTCAAATTTTTAGCCTTTTGTAAAGCTGTTCTAATTTGTGTTGTTGAAAGCTTATTTAAAATTAATTTACTTATGTTCTCAATTTTATAACAGTAGCTTACTAAAAATTATTTTCATTAGTTTTCTTATGTGAAATCGTTTCATGTTGGTTACTTGGTTATAACAGTAACAAATTTTAGTTAGTTTTTCATAATTTCTTCAAGGTCTGTTCTTTGTTAGTTTTCCATATTTTGTTTCATAATTTTTTCATAATATATTTTTATTACCTTTTTCTACAATTAGTTGTTTATACTTTGTTCTAATTTTAAGTTTGATCTATTTTTACAGGAATGAGCCAAACTGGTCCTATTACTCAATCTGATATTGTTAACAACCTTATTCAGGTATCAAAAATTAATTTTAAGTAGAGATTTTTACCTTTAGAAATGTTGGTTACTGTTACAATGGTGTAAGATTATAGTTGATGTTCAAAAATTTATTTTTTTCATGTGTATTTTATAGGGTGAAACAACTGAAGCTCCACCTCTATTGGTACAAAATAATGAAACAAACAATGATGAAGAAAATGCTAATAAGAAAAGAAAGATTGGAGAAGCTTCAAAATTGGTCACATCCAATGATCCTAATGTTGTAGCTGGAGATTCAGGTAACAGAAAACCTATTAAACCTAGATCTTGGACTTGGGAACATTTTACAAAAATAGGATCAAGAGCTAAGTGTAATTGGTGTGATGTAACATATGCTGCTGATTCACAAAGAAATGACACTAGTAATTTGAAACACCATTTGTTGCATCAGTGTAAGAAGTTTCCAAAAGAGTCTCTTGATCTCACTCAACAGACACTTGTTCTTCAACAATTGAAAAAAGAAGATGGGAATGGATCTGATAGTGTTCTCCCTGGTGTTCATTTTGATGCTGAGGCATGTAGGAAAGCTTTAGCTAGGATGATTATTGTTGATGAGTTGCCTTTTAAGTTTGTTGAGGGAGAGGAGTTTCTTCATTTTATGAGTGTTGTGCAACCTAAACTCTCAATTCCTAAAAGGATTACAATTGCTAGAGATTGTTGAGATTTATACACGAGTGAGAAACATAAGTTAAAAAGTGTGCTAAATAAATCAAATCAATGTGTTTGTCTTACAACTGATTGTTGGACATCTGTGCAAAATTTGAGTTATCTTTGTCTCACTGCACATTTCATTGATCATGATTGGAAAATCCATAAAAGGATTCTGAATTTTTGTCCAATTGTGAATCACAAAGGAGTAACCATCGGCAAAAAAATTGAAAAATGTTTGGAGGAATGGCTAATAGGTAATGTTTTTACCATTACGGTTGATAATGCTAGTTCTAACGATGTTGATATAACTTACTTGAAAAATACAATGAACGATTGGAATTCTCATCCATTGAAAGGGGAACATATGCATGTTCGCTGTTGTGCACATATTCTGAATCTTGTGGTCCAAGATGGACTAGAAGACTATCATTCTTCAATTAGTAAGATTAGGAATGCTGTTAGAAATGTTCGTGCATCTCCAGGTCGTATGGATAGGTTTAAAACTTGCATTAAAGAAGTTAGGTTACAAGAAAAATCAATTGTTCAGTTGGATGTTTCCACTAGGTGGAATTCCACATATATTATGCTTGAAAGTGCATTGAAGTTTCAAAAGGCATTTAAGAGATTGAGTGAGAAGTGTGCTGATTTTGTGTTGATGAAAGATGGTATTCCTAATAAAGAGGATTGGGATAATGCAAAATGCTTTGTTAATTTTTTGAAAATATTTTTTGATATCACAAAGAAGGTTTCAGGTAGTACTTTTGTGACCTCTTCTCAATATTTTAATGAACATATTAAGATATTGACTACATTAAACGGGTGGATAGAATTAAAAAGTTCTGACAACTTGCTTGAAATTATGGCTGAAAATATGAAAGTTAAGTATGATAAATATTGGGGTAAGGTTGAAAAAATGAATATGTTGATCTTTGTCGCTGTTGTGCTTGATCCTCGACATAAGATGCAGTTTGTTAGGTGGGGATTGAACAGGGCATATACAAATGATGTTGTTGTATCTTTATACAAAAAAACAGAGGAGACATTAAATAAAATATTTGAGAGTTATAGGCTTTTCCTTGGTAACGGTCAAACTGAAAATCTTACACATTCCACTCAAGAAGTGGAATTGGTAGAACTTAAAGCACCAGAGGATGCATTTTCTTTAGAGGTTGAGATGGACATGAATCTTAATGAGAGCATGCAGAAAAATGAATTGGATTTGTATCTCATGGAGAATTTGGAGAAGAAAGGTCCTGGTTTTGATATCTTGAACTGATGGAAGGTGAATTCTAACAAGTATCCTTCTTGGTCAAATGGCTAGAGATATATTGGCCATGCCTGTGTCTACTGTAGCTTCAGAGTCCGCTTTCTCTATCGGAGGAAGAGTGCTTACTTGTTATAGAAGCTCTCTTACGCCAAAAACAGTTGAAGCTTTAATTTATACACAAAATCGGTGTAAATCTTCCCCGGTGTCGGTGGATATTGAAGAGCTTGTGGATGAGTTAGAAAATTTGGAATTAGGTAATTTACTTATAACTTATATTATTTTTTGTTGAGCATTGTTAATCTTTTATATTGAGTAATATTTATCTTTATTTTTGTAGAACTTGCTCCAATCCCTCAATTGAATGAAGGTGTATCTGATATAGACTCTGATTAGCTGTTGATATCCGCATTCTAAAAGAATTGGGTAGAATTGTGAAGCTGGAGTGGAGCTATTGCAGGATAATTAGAAAATTTGTTATTTGACTATCAATTATGTTGCAGGCTCTGATTTTGAAACTATCAATTATGCTGTCATATATAAAGCAGATCTTCTCTCTATATATAATGCAGTTTGTCATATTATTATTATATATTCCTTGTGATGCAACTTTCGCATGTCCACTGTTATTGATATTTTTCTTGAAGTTTTATTATTATATTCGCTTTAATATAGCTTTGGAATCTTCATTTGTTCACTGTTTTATATATTTGTCATATATTTAATTTATAATACAAATCTCCATATAAGAACTAAGCATATCTTCATATATATTATATATTATAGCCATGTCTATTTCGTTGGGATAGATATTATAATTGTAACTGGTATTGAAATATATTCTTTTTAAATTTCTAAATAGTGTTGGTTTAAAAACCGAATAAAACCGATTCAACCGAATCGAAATAAACCGTATAAATTGAATTGGATTGGATTGGATTTTTCTTGTTGTCATCCAAAAACCGAATCAAACCGTATGCTTTATATATTTTTGGATCAGATGATATTTTATCTCAAAACCGATCCAAACCGGACGACGAACATCCCTAGAAAAATAACCATATAACAACATTTCCATGCCATAAATTATCACATATCAATTCCAAATGCACTAATTATCATACCTCTTTTTGAAGAAAAAATTAAATGCATCCCACCCCTTAAACTAGAGTTCGTCAACTTTAGGTCTTTTATCTACGTGGGGGCAAGAGAGAATACCAAGAGTCAAGAGACAGCAAACAAGGACACCTCATTGCTAAAAGGATCTCAAGGAAACAAGGAGTGGTTGTCCCTATGTCTTAAAAAGAATACAAGGCATTACCTTACCAAATTTTAAATTTTTTTGTATAAAGGATCTCTTATTAAAAGGCCTGGTTCTTTCTACCGCCCATCAAAAATCAAAAAACAGACATTTCCATATTTAGAAAAAGACCAAGTACAATAATAAGAGACATCAACTAATTTATGGTTCTCGAGTGACCCCTTCTATTGAGGACATTATAATAAACATCATATCTGAGTCTGTCGATCCTAACTTCTAGACTATTATTTTGGTCTAAGTCAAGATCCAATTCATTTTCATCCATCACTTTATGGTGTCTTACCAAGAGTTTTTAAAAGATGCCGTCAAATCTAATAAATGAACCATATAAGAACTACTCTAACGTTGTTTTTTCAGACAGTTTTCCAACCTGACAAACTTCTTTTTTGTTTTGATAATGGATGGAGTTTCTCATGTGGGGATTGTAGAAAAAAGAAGCAACATTCAAATTTTTGTGGAGACAAAAAGGACATAAATAATTTTATATTTGATTCGCGTTTAATTTAAAATCAATTATTATTGCTAAACATACTAAATATCTGTTACAAGTGTTTCCAATCTATTACCAAATTGGAAAATTGCCTTAGTGGAAGACCCGTCTTCTTTCAAAGCATCAAAAGCAGCATCTTTTAACTCTTGAATCCTTTCCCTAATCCCATTTTCTGTACCATCCAACATCAACCCTTTAACCACCTTAGCAATTTCATCTCTTTCAAACAAACCATCCTCACTAAACTTTAACCTCATTGCAACTTTAACTTGATCACATAACAAAACAGCATTCATCTTTTGCTCAGCAAACAAAGGCCAAGCAATCATAGGCACACCCAACACAATACTCTCAAGCACCGAATTCCAACCACAATGAGTCAAAAACCCACCAACTGAACCATGACTCAAAATTCGAGTTTGTGGAGCCCAATTAGGTACAACCAAACCCTGTTCTTTAGTTCTCTCTAAAAACCCTTTTGGTAAAAAGCTTAAAGGGTCATCATCATTTTTAGCACCAAGATAAGCTTCATTCGATGTATCACTAGGTGCTCTTAAAACCCATAAAAAGTTTTGACCACTTAACTCTAATCCAAAAGCTAATTCATAAACTTGCTGTTGACAAAGTGTTCCACCACTTCCAAATGAAACATACAAAACAGATTTAGTACTTTGTTTCATCAACCACTTGTAACATTCTAAATCTGAATCTGAACCTTTTGATTCATTAGTTGACCCATTTTGAATAATGGGTCCCACAAGAAAAACAGAATCTTTATGTTCTTGTTCTAAGGCTTTCATTGTTTTTCCCTCCATTTTCATGAAACTGTTAACCAAAAACCCATCAGCAAGATTGAATCTTTTGCAACGTTGGAGAATGAGTTCATAGGCAAGACTAGATCGATCTTGAAAATGTTCAGGTAAATCAATTCCATGAATAGGTACACAACCTGGAAGCTGAATAGCTTCATTGTAATCTCTAAACTCAGATGAAATTTGTTGATGAAGTTTTGGAAAATGGATGAAAAGTGAGAGTGTCATAGCAGAAGGAGGGAAATAAATATAAGACAAAAGGTTGAATTCTTTAGCCACTTGAAGCGATTCGTTTGCGAAAGGGTCGGAAACTAAAGCAACAAGTGGTGTTGTTGATGAAGAGAGTGATGAGATTGTTGAGTGGAAAGATGGCATGGATTGTGATACGGCTAGTTGGATTTGGACTGCTGGGGAGAGATTTTGAGGGAGAGATTGTTTGTGGATTGGAGGGAGGAAAGTATAGGTGATGGAAGATGGGAGATGTTTGAGTAAAGTGAGTGTTGGTGGGAGAGGTGAATCGATTGTTGGGAAGATGATGGTTATGTGGAAGTGATTATGGTGATGAATCAGATTTTTGGAGAATTGTATGATGGAAGCTTGGTGGCTAAATGCTGGGATTGTCACTACTGCTATATGAATTGTTTTTGCCATTCAAAGTTTTCTATTTTAGGGTTATTGATTTGGAAATTGGAGAGGTTATGTATGTTTTTATTCTATTTATGGCTATTTGATAAGCAAGCCAACTTTGACCGAAGAATCTTGACTATATAATGTAGACTCATATTTCAATGTGCCTTATTTTTATTTTGGCTTTTGTAATGACAGAACATGAATGAATTCAAAGGATTCAAATAAGATAAGAATACTTGAAATCACATTCGTATAAATTCTAGATTTTTTTAACATACATGAGTAAGCACTATTTAAATAACTAGGATATGTAGTGCTCTTTTTTGTTTATTTTTATATTTTTATATTTGAGTTTATGGATTGATGTGGCCGCAATTGAGGTAGTGATATTGTTCTACATATTGTTAAAACTTATTTACTTTTAATTTTTATATATATATATATATATATATATATATATATATATATATATATATATATATATATATATATATATATATATATATATATATATTAAGACAAATTTATTATTATTATTATTATTATTATTATTATTATTATTATTATTATTATTAAATTGACAATTGATAATTAGTTTGCGTATAAATAATACTAGTATTAAGTTTTTTTACGGGTGGTGTTAAGTTATTATTTGTATATAAATGTATTTAATGTTGACTTTTTATATTATAAGAAAAATGATAATATTATTAGTGATATATTTTTAGAAAAATAATAATTGTATTTAAACTTAATAGAAAAATTTCTATTTAAAGCCAATCAATTTAAAATAAAAATCTAAAGAGAAATGGTAGAAATACTATTTTTTTCAACATCCTCTCAAACACTTATTTTTTATTAAGTAAAATATATGTTGATTCTTCTACCGTTAGAATAAAGGGTTTTCAAGAAAGATGATTAATAAAAGGGAAGAAGAAGAAGAGAGAGAGAGGGGTTGAAAGTTAGTTATGATTCTAACTGAATTGTTATTATGAATTATGTTTGCATTGATTGTTGTAAATTTATAAACTAACAAGCCCTTTATATGGGCATACAATGCCCAGATCCAAATCGACTATATACAAGACTGGCCCAAAACTACATTTCGACATACTGCATAACTATTGAATTCGATAGAGTCGAGTACAACTGACAACATATCAGCACTAGCTATTCGACATACACCTAAGCACTTCGACAGAACAAGAATTATATTATCTAACACTCCCCCTAATTCATGTTCTTGAGACTTCTCATCCTGATGCTTCTTTTTAACTCGTCGAATATGACTTTCTTTAGAGGTTTGGTGAATATGTCAGCTAGTTACACTTCTGTCTTACAATGCTTTAGCTCTAGCTTCCCTTTCTTGACTTGATCGCTCAGAAAATGATACCTCATTTCTATGTGCTTACTTCGACCATGACACACTGGATGATTCGCCAGGTCAATAGCTGACTTGTTGTTGACAAAAAAAACTTCATCCTCTTAGGTCCCATTATCTTGAGTTCTTCAAGTAACATTTCGATCTATGTTGCTTAGCATGCAACATATGATGCAGCCACATATTCTGCTTTGCATGATGACAAAGCCACATGCTTTGCTTCCTCGAGCTCCAAGAGATTGGAGCACCTTCTATCATGAAAATGTAGCATGCAATGCTTTTCTTCTCGTCATGATCTCCACTGAAATCTGAGTTAATATATCCATGAACTTCGACATCTGTGTTGTTCTTTGACTTCCTTGGCAACATCACACAATGACCAATTGTTCCCTTTATGTATCTCAACACCATCTTTACTGCAATGAGATGACACTTTTATGGTTTCTCCATAATCGACTCAACAATCCTAATGTAATATGGTGGGAGAACTGACTTGGGTGTTTTGGGTTTTATCGCAAATGTTGCGGATAGCAAGAGTCGCCACCGATTTTTCTTTTATTCGATAAAGGAAAGGGTGAAAAGAACAGGAAAGACCTTTTGAGAGGTTTGGTGTTATCTATAAAAAAATTTGTCTTAATCAAGGAGACATTTTTAGGGTATATGAACAAGTCAAAATGCAAAACTTGACCTAACTTAGCACCAATTTTAGCTCCCATTTGTTTAGTTTTGTTGTTTTGAGGGATACCCCAAATTTGAATCCAAATAGGGACAAGATTGAATTTGTAGTTATTAGGGGTCCAAGGTTTAACCTATAACCATGAATTTCTAAGAACCCAAGGGTTTCCCATTAGAATTATTTTGACATCGGATATGTTCTCCATCGATAATCTGTATAGCCCTTTTCTATCTCCAGAACATGGAGTCCCATAGGGTCACACCAAATTCCAGATAGGTCTGTTAATAGAGAAGGCTTGTGAATAGGTTTGTCAAAAATAAACTTCTCCATATTCGAATAATCACTATCTTTGAAAGTATGTTGAACGCCACCATCATCCCAAACACAAAAATCAATATCTTTTGTTATGTCTTGGCCCATTTCTTGTTGATTACGATTTTTCTTGGACTTAATATGGATAGGTTGAATTTTTCTGCAACATTCTTCTAAGTTAATTATTTTTCCAGGGATCTACACGATTAAATCAAGGTCTTTTAGAGTAGAGTTTTGGGACTAGCTTCCCAAATTAATGCAAGATTTGAGTCGCTTCCTTTTGTCTAGAGAAATTGGCAAATCCAGTTCATTTGAGTCCATGTCAGAGAAACAAATTCAAGACAGAAAATGAGCGACAAGAAAAAATAAACCAGGGAAAACAAGTAAAAACAAGAAGTAAAAGAAACAAATCATAGAACCATCAAATACGACGACATACACAGCTGCTCAGAATAAGGCGTTGAAAGAAACGCGAGCAAGGGACAAAACAACATTGTACATGCTGTTAAGAGCAGTTGATGAATCAACTTTTGAAAAGATTGTTGGTTCGACTACGTCAAAGGAGGCGTGGGACACACTTGGAAAGGCTTTCAGAGGAGCTGATAAAGTCAAGCAAGTTCTCTTGCAAACTCTTCGAGGAGAAATGGAGAGAATGAAGATGAAAGAGACAGAATCCGTACCGGACTACATTACTCGTGCGCAGACAATGGCAAATCAACTCAATCGGAGTGGAGAAGAAACGTCGGATGCTCTTATTGTCGAAAAGATTTTGAGATCTTTGACAGATAAGTTTGAAAACATAGTATGCGCAATAGAAGATACGGAGGACCTTTCAACAATCACTGTCGAAGAAGTCGCTGATTCGCTTGAGGCACATGAACAACGCAAAATAAAGAAGAAGGAGGAGGCACTTGAGGATGCAGAATCCAACAGAGATGAAAAGGCACTTTTCTCTCAAAATTGGCGTGGGAGAGGATATGGTCGTGGAAGACGTAATGGTGGTCGAAGTTACCAAAATAACAACTTTGACAGGGGACAATCAAGCCAACAAAACTGGCGTGGCAGAGGACGTGGCCAGAGAGGTGGTAGATCAAATTACAATAACATTGAATGTTACAAATGCAATAAACAAGGGAGCTATGCGAAAGATTGCAACTCCTACATTTGCTACAACTGTGGTAAAATGGGACATCTTGCAAAAGAATGTCGATCCAGAAGAAAGGTAGAAGAAACAACAAACCTTGCCCTAGAAACAGAATCGAATGAAGGATTTCTGTTAATGACTCAAAAGGAAGCAGAAGCAGAAAATGATACTATGTGGTACCTGGACTCAGGAGAAAGCAACCATATGTGTGGTCATAAGAATTTGTTCAAAGATATAAAGAAAATCGAAGACGGTCATGTTTCATTTGGAGATGCGTCGAAAGCAAGAGCCGAAGGAAAAGGAACAATTTTCTTCTTGCAGAAGATGGTTTGATAGGATAAATCCAAGACGTGTACTATGTACCAAACCTCAAAGCAAATATGTTGAGTCTGGGACAACTCACTGAAAAGGGCTATTCGATTCTCATGGAAGATCAAAGCCTGCATTTAAAAGACAAGTCAGGACATCTGGTTGCTCAAGTCGAAATGTGGAGGAATCGAATGTATAAGCTGAATTTGAGAAGCATTCGAGAAAAGTGTTTACATGTCAATATCAAAGACCAAGCACCCCTGTGGCATCTTCGATTTGGTCATCTACACTAGGCTGGACTAAGGAGGTTAGCAAATAAAAATATGGTGCATAGACTGCCAGATGTAGAATTCGAAGGAAATTTCTGTGAAGAATGTGTGTTTGGAAAACAGACGAAAACTTCATTCCCAAGGAAGGCAGAATATCAGGCCAAGCAAATTCTGGAATTGATCCACACTGGCATATGTAGACCAATTACCCCGGAATCCTTCAGTGGAAAAAGGTACTTCATATCCTTCATTGATGATTTTTCAAGGAAAACTTGGGTGTACTTTCTGAAAGAAAAATCTGAAGCCTTCGAAGTATTCAAGAAGTTTAAGATAATGGTTGAAAAAGAAATAGACAAACACATCAAAGCCCTTCGATCAGACAGAGGTGGGGAATATACTTTGACAACCTTTATGAAGTATTGTAAAGAGAAAGGCATAAGAAGATTTCTGACTGCAACTTACTCACACCAACAAAATGGTGTAGCGGAAAGGAAGAATCGAACGATCCTTGACATGGTTCGATCAATGCTGAAGAGCAAAAACATGTCGAAGGAGTTTTGGGTAGAAGCTGTACAATATGCTATCTACGTTCAAAACAGATGTCCACATTCGAAGCTGGGAGATTTAACACCTCAAGAAGCTTGGAGTGGTTGAAAGCCAACTGTGTCTCACTTCAAAGTGTTTGGAAGTGTGGCTTATGCACATGTGCCTGATCAAAGGAGAAAAAAGTTGGAAGATAAGAGTCAAAAATACATACTCATTGGGTATGACGAAAAAACGAAAGGTTACAGACTCTTCGATTCAATAAACAAAAGGTGATAGTCAGTAGAGATGTTCGAGTAAACGAAGGAAGCAAATGGGACTGGGACAATTTGAATGAGGTTGTGGTCGAAGTACCAGATGCTATATCGGAAGACACTTCAACAGATC